TGGTGTACTGTGCGTTTATTCCGAGCTGCCGGGCCCCCTGAGACTTTGTTCTCTCTACACTTGATGGGCAAAACTTGCCGGAAAAGTTGAGGCGCTTATCACCCTTGATAAGGCTCAACTTTTGTGTGACGGCACACCTTGCTGTGGAGGACGTACGATGCACTTATTACAAGCTGCAGGGTCCCCTAAGACGTTGGCTTCCCCACTGTGGATGGTTGAAACCTACCAAAATATTTGAGGCCCTTATCAGTTCTGATAAGGGTGAACTATTATTTGACGTCACACCTTACCGCGGAGGACATACGCTGCGTTGATTCTGAGCTGCCGTGCCTCCTTAGACGTTGCCTTCCCAACAGTGGATTGTCGAAAAAGTTCAAACGCTTATCAGCCACGATAAGGCTCAGCTTTTTTGTGACGTCACACTTTAACGGGGAGGGGGTACTACGCTTTTTGTTTTCTGCTAAACAGTTCTCTGAGGCTTTGGCTACCCCTCAATAGATGGCGAAACTGGTAAACTAAAGTTGAGGCCCGTTTTGCCAATGAAAAAGATAATTGAAGAAAAATAGGGAACTTTGAATGCAGCCCTTGGATTCGGAACTAGCCCCTCATGCTCCGTAGGCGAGTGCTTTACCCAATGATCTAACCACCAAAAGCCTGTTCACCGAACGAAAAAAAAAACGAAAGACTTACATCATAGCCCGTGGATTCGAACCTGATCCTTTACGCTCCGACAGGGAGGGTCTTAACCACTGAACTAAGCACAATGCTTTCTACACCCCAATACATATGAACCATCATTTGAATGCGTTCTACCAACAAAAAAAAGAATAAGACTACCATCAAAATACTGGGATTCGAATGTAGGCCCTCACGCTACGAAGGCTTGCACCCTACCGGTGAGCTAAATGCCAGCTAAGCGCACTGTTGGTGACAACAGAGGAACAGCTGGTGTTGCATTGTGTATATAGATGGGGTGGCTAGGTGGGGTGGCTAGGTGGGATGCGGTGGCTAGTTGGATGTGGAGGAAGCACGACCCGCATTCCACGAGAGCGTAACCATACACAAGGCCAAGCGAAACACTAAAGTTTTATCTACCGCTAACTACGCACGCCCAGGTATAACTCAGTCAAGGCAAAGCCACTCTCAAAGCAAGAGCCTTTATTGTCTTCCTCCCGTCCATCCTTCCCTTCGTCCATGCCCCAAACGGTGCCAGCTGTGGTCTCTGCCCCTCACACTCTCTCAGAAATCACGTGACGGTACTACGGCACGTGACAACCATTACACTATCTCATCAATCACTTGACTGCTGAGAAAGTGTAAAAAAAGTAAAAAGATAAAGGAACAACAACAACAACAAAAATGGACATATTTAGTGCAAAGGCCGCTGGCTTCCCACGAACACACTTTGGAGTGTGCAAAGTGTACTTCAATTTCTTAGCCATAGCATTGCATGCTACAACAATCGAAAAAAAAATCTAGAAGATTTTACAGCAAGGCACTCGCTGTAATGCCTCCTGCTGGTAAAATAAAATCACTATCGAGGCGCATGCCTAGCTGCAGTTAGCATAGCATGAAAATTTCAAATACTAAGCAAAAGGTAATGGTGCCACGTACTTCTATGAAACAAGACAGGTAATAATGGTGCGAAATAATTACATATTGACACACAGTCCACGTGCAACCACTCCTATGAAGACAAACTTTCCTTCCCAGTTTTTTTCATGAATTTTATGGATCTGCAATTCCCCATAACATTTTTTTGTTTGTTTTACCTCCCAGCTTGCGACTTACTACGGTGCCGGTGGACTTAAGTTTTTAATCAGCGGGATTATGTCCGTTTCGAATTCCGGAGGCCAGAAGTTGCTCGAAGTGGCCATCGGAGTGAGTGCTTGACTACCTATATAGTATACGCTGTCGTTCGCACGGTCAGGCACTTGTACTGTGGTTCAAATGTAATGTTTTATTGTTTCACCATTACTTATAACACATACGTCGGGTTATGAAGGCTCTTAAACATCACCAATATTCAGCTTCAAGCAGAGTAAAAACTGCACCAGGGAATGCGCTGAGCGAAGAGATATAGACATCTTTCGCATAGTTGACCTCACAAGCCAGTCGGTATCGTTAGCACCATGGTGCTCTGGAAACAGAGAACATGCCACCCTTAGGCAGGGAGATTAGCATTGCAATGGAGTTAAGTGACAATAATGTTTAGCGCTGCAGTACTAAGAAGTACAAAGAATTGAGAACAAAACATTAAAGGTCAGCAAGTGCCAATGTAAAATCTTCGCTTAATATCCTGGCGCGTATGGTCATCAAACTAATAGCCCATGGTAGTCCATCATTCGATCTGGTAACATTAGAATCCCACACAGCATTTCCCGAAGCATGAGCATGAGATGAGTGTTGTTGGTTAGCTGTGACGTTTAAGACAAAAGTTTATTTTACGAGATTTGATGAGCACGCTTCATAATACTTTAGTCGAGAAGTAGGAACAGCAAGCACCTCCTGGGGAAATTATTTTACTCTGTTTACACTCATTGAAACACTCACCTATTTTGGACTCTTAAAAACGGCAATAAGTGATCGTGAAGATGCATTTACTTTTTCGAATTCATCGCATCACGTATTATATCAAATACCCTTCTTAATTAGGAACCTATGGTAATTAGGAACCTATAGTTGCATGCGGACAAACATTCCAATATGGTAATGCTCACTGTAGCGATAGCGCTGAAAGACAAACACCACAGAAAGACGATAGGGCATGCACGATTCACACCCGAATCTTTGTTTTGAGAAGCTGTACTTATACAATAATGAAAACAGAGAACATCACTAATTAACCGCATCATAAGCGCAAGCCTGCAACATTCAGATATGTGATTTTTTTCGCCCTAGGTTGCTTTAAGTGCAGAGAAATGACGTAATTGAATAATGCAGGCTTGAGCTTCTGATGCAGGTTTCTGGTGATGTTTGCCGTTTCAATTGCTGTACAACTTGTTTTTTTTTAATTAAAGGTTCAGTTAGGAGTAGTGCACATCCAGTGTTCTTCATTTGGTCTCGCTATGGCTTGAATTAATGTAACAAATTTACCAGCCCAAAAGCCCATCTCATTGAATAGTAATTATGTTATCTTTGTTCTAAGTCCTTGGTATCATCGAAGGGTTATCCATGGCAGTCTTGGCACTTTGCGTGAAAATGCTGGTTACAGGTTGACAATCATTAGAATATAAATATGCAATTTCTTATTACAATCTCTCTTCTAGGTGTTTGATAATGTCGAGGAGTCTTCCATGACTACCTTGTTAATTGCTTGAAGATGCTCTAGCAATCTCTCAGGCCTCTGTCCCAAATGCAACTTTAAATGTGGCTTGCTTCCGAAAGCGGGCTGAGACATCGTTTTTCTGTGCCATGAATGTGTTACGGATTTGTACGTGTGATTGAAATGAATGGTGCAACATCTCTAATAAGCAGAATGCCCTATAAATGTTTACATGTGTTTAAAACTTTAATATGTGAAATAAAAAGGAGATCTCATGAGCAAGAATTTTCCTCAATATTACACACAGGCAAATTGAAGGCGCCTATTTCGAGTGCGTAATTGTAATACTTGTCTTTTGCCCATAAAATAAATTCATATGAGAAACATTTCTAATAACCAGGATGTTCTGTAAGCTGGTGCAATATAAGACACATAAGCGACCTGTGTACAAACATGGTAATCGCGAATACAAATTGCAGCCTTTGTTATTCTTTATTGATTTTTACGACGTGCAGTCATTGTAGTTTGTAATGACTGAAATGAAAAAAGCTTCTGTGTAATAAATACATCAGCCTGAATACCGTACACAAACTAACTGGGTCGTCTTGATGTCACGGGTCCCGTTAATTAGGGAGGCGATCGCCGGGCTAATTCCAAGGGCTGAAGTACCGGCCCCCCGAACCGCACCACGAAAGCGTGGACAATTTAGGATTGGTCCTTATTGGCGCGCCAGCAGACGCCGGCTGTGGCCCAAAGAACAAGTCAGAGCCGAGAGTTGATAAACAAAACAAATATTATATTCTCAAAAATGGCAGATAAAAACAATACACAAGAATGCACACTCCACAATAGTTACATACAATACGTCACCAATCAAACAACGTACTACACAGTACAATCAGCCACACTCAAAACAACGGACACAGACAACGATACGCTCTACAATGCAGTCGCATGCATTGAACAACCAAGACGCTTGAAGACTAAAGAGATAGAAAACCTATCCAGTCCAAAGTTCTTGGAACAAAAGTCTGAATGATACTCTTCCGAGAATCACTCACTCAAAGTCCAGCGTTGTTGTCGTTCCGCGCCCTCGAAGTTTCTCTTCCAGGAAACCTCGCGTCTTCAATTGGCCACTCTCCAAGCTTCAAACTTCTTCGCCCGAACACGTCGGCTTCACACACGCAGCTGTCGCCACGCGTCTTCGCTCGATAGCGGTAAACACACTCTCTTGCCTGTAGCTCGAGCCTTCACCCCTCAGGTGGAAATCCTCTTCATCTCCTGCTTCGTCCCTACGGACAAAACCTTCGCCGATACACGGCGGAATCCCTACGCACTCTGGCGCTACTTCCGTCTTCTCCTGATCTCTCATCTCGGCTGCTCGGTTAAATACCTTGCGCGCGACATTCCAGACGGTTCTCGTCATTTCGTCGGCGCGATACGCAGCGAAGGCTGGGAAGAGGGCGAGACGGTTGGAATGCCCTCCGCGGCCGATGACTCAACTCGGTATGACCACGCCCCTTTCGTTCTGGAACTTTCGCGGGCTATCTCGGCCGCCGATATGGGGCGAGGAGGTTCGTCGGCGAAGCCACGCTTCCGAGGGGAGAGCGCGCGCCCCGGGGAGCCTTTAGATGTTTGTTTTCCTTTTCTTTTGACCTCGCGGCGCCACTCCGGCGTTTTGTCCCGACAATTTGGCGGCGCGCCCATTTTTAGCGCTCGTTCTGTGACACTTGAACACAGTACAAAATCTCCGGACAACTCTGTGTACACACAAATCGTAATCTTCGTAATCATAACTTCAAGTCATCGTGTCATTAGCATGCGCACTCAAGTAAACTTAACTGAAGAACACTTAACAAAGTAATCAATATTACTCCATCGTAATGCGCAAACAAAGCGAATATTGACCATTTGACCATAATACCAACATGTCGAGAAAGTAACCTAACACGAATAGAAGAACTGCCATAATATCGAGAACTAGCCCCCCAATCACTTCTGTCTTAGGCACTTGTTCGAATGTCCCAGAAGGCAAGCAGTGGTCAAAACGCACACGAGTCACGTGGGTTCATCTTGGATCCTGCGGCACAGTGAAAGGCTGCGGCAAACTCGGGCATCCGCTTGGCAACGCTGTTGCAGCCGGATGACATTGCGCAGAAGAAGATGTCAGCTTCGCAAAATAAGTTGTCGTCGGCAGCACGGTTAGCTTTGTCATCACAACAACGTAAAGCACAGTTCACCACAAAGAACAGTTGTTCTGCTGTATAGTTGAGCGTGGGCAGCACGCGATTTCTCTGCGACGCGGGAAGAGCACGGAAGGCTTCGTAGGATGCCGACGTCGCAGCCAGCACATGCAAGAAGTCCGAGTCAATATTCCGGTTGGGAATGAATGCGTAGTCCTCACCGAGCTGAAAAAGAAGGCAATAAAAGAGTTAATTTTTACTTTACAAAAACAAGGGTTGTAACTACATCAACTTAACATTGTGAAGGCTCTTTAAAAACTCGTTGTGAAGCAGCGGAGCCAATGGTACCATGTTTGTATTTTATACTAGCACCATTTGTATCGTTTAAGAAGTCTTCGCGAAGCTGCATCAAATCTTACATTCATATCGTTCAGTGAGCCGGGCATGAGTAGTACAGGTTGCCTGATTTCTGCAGCGTCATGCCGGCTGCACTAGTCATAAACATATTAAACTTTTATCGGACTTGAGGTCAGTAGAAGGGCATTCTCTATTGCCGTGACACATGCCCAAAAGAAGCCACAGAAGCTTTGTTACACTTCTCATAGATTAAGCTCGACTTCGAACATTGGTGCCGTTTAGAATCCAATGACAGGCTGCTAAAGTCAAACGTGGCTTCGTAGAAATAGTTACAACTTTGATTAATGTAACTGAATGAAGTCTATAAGTTTGCACAGGGTCTATCTCATAACAATAGTGGCTGTGAATCCATCGTGCGTTTCTGGAATGACGTACATACAATTTCCCTCGCATCTCGGTCTTTGAACCGCTGCGCCCGACTTCAAGCACTCATAGCTTTTTAGGCTACATTTTTGTAAGGGAATTATTCGAACTGCAGATGATCATAATTTATCGATGTTGTTAGAGGCATTCCTTAGTTTGTCGTTGACCGGAAGCCAACCAATCTTATTTACCACTTGAAAGAGTGGGAAAAAAAAGCTCTTGCGAGGTTGAATGAAGTAGAAGCCTCGTGTGAACAAAGTGATATCTCGAGCGCATGCTACGAAATTCGCGAGCTTTTGTTATCGTATGTTATCGGTGGAGACTGGTATTTTGTCGTAGTTCGTTATGCATGCACAACGTTAGCATAAACTTCAATAGCACCCCATAGAGGGGAGACATGGTGTTCGCCACTGTACTGACTGTCTTTGGATGTGCGTAGTAACCTAAGTCTGACTACTGTGAAAAATACTGCCTCTCTCAAATTCTTCAGTCTGTAATACGCTGAATAATAGTGTTATAGTCTCATCAGTAAGTAATAATAAATCAAGCAGACGTCCTTATGAACGCCTCGAATAAACTAAACACACGCCTCACTCCTTTTTAACTTACGCCAAAACACTATATTTATTGGACACTTTGGTTCACTGTGGTTCAGTCTCTAAGCTGAGAAGGCGCTATCTCATTGAGGTGAAATATGGTATCTTACCTCCGGAGGCTCAATTGTGGGACACCGACTTGCTTGCTTGTAGTAATACTGAGCTGTGGGAGTCCACCAGTTTTTACAGTCTGGTGTCATGGCATCTATTCCTCTCGCCTCCAGAGAGCAGTCCCCACGAAATAATGCATCGAAGATAATCTGCGATTACAAATATGGACATGTGATATCATGGCGTGGCAAGTTGAACAAACGCATTAGGATAAATCACAACAAAACGAATGTTTGCTTCATGATTAACCTAATTATGAGGGCCGTGAAGTATTTACGTTTTATTATATGCCTGCTCACAACTTGCCGGCAACGTAAGAAGCCTTGTTAATGTTACATGGAAATCTGCCACTATATTCCCCCAAGGAACAAACAGTAAATACAACGCATGTTGAATTATCACGTACTACCTGCGCAGTAGCCTCCCCGATCATAAGCGTTGTTTTTGGACATGAGAATAGGTGCACGTGGTAAAAACAAATCTTTCTCTGCCTTAAACACACACACGCGCACGCACATATACGCGTGCACGCACACAGACACGCACGCACAGACACATTATGAAACTCACATTACAGATTTGCTCCTGTCTGGCCTAGTTTTGGCGCCACCCTTTACAGCTATATACGATGTGGCCACCACAACCAATAATCTCAGACTTGGCAACCTGACGACCTGGGTATTTGTTAGCGCATTTCAGGAACTAGGAAGTTATGCTTGAGCCTTGTCCATCCATCCCGCCGTCGTAGCCACGCTCCCTCTGGAGCAAATGACAGGGTCAGAATAGAACGCGATGTGCGCGTCTCTCTTCTTTATAAGAGGGCAGGATGGACAAGCGATGCTACGCTAACAAAACGCAAGCTCCGACGCGAGGAGGAGAAAAAAACCTTTATTGATGCTGGCTGTGCCAGATAGCCCTTATCCCCACGGGGCTGGTTGACATCCCTAGTCCGGGACGTCATTAGTCGAGGCCGCCACCCGAGCCCGCTGCACTAGAGTTCGCTGTTCCTCTAGTGTGGAGCCATTGAGTAGGGTCGCCTCCCAGTCCTCTTTGGTGGGGTTGGGAAAGCTGGTTAATTTTGGGTTCATTTGGCAGGCCCAGACCATATGGTAAATGTTGGCCACTTCCCCACAGTACTGGCACTGCCCACTTATTTTAGGGTCGTAATATTTTAGTATGGCTGGACAGAGTAGCGTATTTGTCTGTAGGCGTCGCAGGATGCGCTCCTCCGTTTTCGAGAGTCCCTTCGCTGGTGCGGGATACAAGCGGCGTTGCTCAATGTAGTATTCTTTGATTTCTCGAAACCGTGTTAAAGGTGTGGGACGTTCAGGTCTATCAGTGGAATGGGGAGTTTCCCGGGCAGTAAGTACGCGGGCCGCTGCATGTGCAGCCTCGTTACCCTGTAGACCCTGATGTCCCGGAGTCCATATAAGACGTTTTGGGGTAGGATCGCGGTTCCTGATGCTGAATTTTAAAAGTCTATTAGCCAATGGAGGGATTTCTCCTGCAAGATAGCTCTCGCAGGCTCTTCGAGAGTCTGTAACTATTTGTTTTGAGTTTGGATGGGATACTGCCAGTGCAATGGCCACCTCCTCCGCATTACTTGAGCTTGTGGCTGTGAAAGTGAGGCCGTTCACCTGCGTTCCTTGATGTATTACCGCCGCCGTGTAGTATCCCCTAGGTGACGGCCCGGCCACATCGACGTCATAGGCCCCATTACGGGAGCCAAGCCATTGTTCAAGTGCCTCAGCGCGTGCTTGCCTTCTACCCTGGTGCGCCTCCCTGGTCATATTGGGGAAGCGGGGACACCCAGAGTTTCGTTCTTCATAGTTCAGTGATACGCTCCGCGTTTTCGATTTCGCATTCGTGTCGGATCAAGAGGTGGTCCAGTAGGCGCCGCCCGGGGGGCGTCTGCGTAAGACGCGTATATTGATTTGTGAGGTGGGCTTCTTGGAGCTCTTGTATAGAGTTAAAGACTCCCAATGCAGAGAGTTTCTGATTTGAAGTGCTGATGGGTAAATCAAGTGCGCGCTTAATTACTTTCCTAATAATAGCATCGACTCTGTTCTCTTCGTGTTTAGTCATTCGTTAGTACGGTATTGAATATAGAATCCTGCTAGTTACAAAAGCATTGGCGAGCCGAATCGCGTCCCTTCCTCGTAGCCCCCCGCGCTTGTTTGACACTCGGCGGATCATGTGCCCTACCTGTTCTCCAATTTTCCGTAGCTTGTCTAGCGTGGTGCTGTTTTTTGTTCTGTTGTGAATCAGAAGGCCAAGGATTCGTAGTTCTGAAACCTCTCGTATTGTTGATCCTGATACCATCAAGTTCAGGGTCATCCTATCTTTAATGTTTTCTCTGATATGCAGGAATTCAGATTTGGTTGGAGCGCACTGCAACCCACACTGGGCCGCATAGTCCTCCACAATGGAGGCGGCCTGCTGCAGGCGGTCTTCAATTTCTCCTAAACTGCCCCGATTCGTCCAGATTGTTATATTATCGGCGTATATTGCATGATATATTCCTTCCACTACTGCCAATGCTTGCGGGAGCTTCATCATGGCAATTTTGAATAGCAGCGGAGGCAGGACAGCTCCTTGCGGGGTTCCCCGCGTCCCCATTTTGAATGGTCCATGTTCCTCGTTATCTATGCAAATGGACGCCAGTCTTTCAGAGAGGAAGTCTCTGATGTAGGCAAACACTTCCTTACCGCAATGGACACTACTCAAGTTCTTCAGGATGGTTTCATGTTTAACGTTGTCGAATGCGCCTTTAAGGTCGAGTGCAAGGATTGCTCTGTCGTTGTGCGTCGAGGGAATGGGTTGGATAATGTCTCGTTTTAGTTGCAAGAGGATATCTTGCGCAGACAGGTGGGGCCTAAAGCCAAACATGGAATCTGCGAAATGCCCCTTGCTCTCGAGGTACGTGGCGAGACGGTCTCTAACCATTGTTTCCATCAATTTGCCGGCACATGAAGTTAATGATATAGGTCTGAGGTTGTCCGTGCTGATTTGCTTGCCTGGTTTGGGGATGAATGTGACAACTGCTGTTTTCCATTCAGTTGGCAGTGGTTGGCCATCCCAGATCGCGTTAATGTATTGCAATAGATGCCGATAAGAATCATCTGACAGATTTGCTAACAGTTTTACCGTGATCAGGTCTCGGCCCGGGGCAGTGCCCCTGCGCATTTTTTTCAGTGCTGCTTTCAGATCGAACATTTCAAAAGGGGCATCGAGCTGACTGTTTTCTCTACCTGCGTATTCATATGCGTTCCTGTTGGGATCCGTGGTGCGACATAGGTATCTAGCACACAAATCATCAGCCAGCTGGGAGTTGGTTCCCTGAAAATTGTGCAGGGCTCGACGGAGCTGCTTTTGCGCTTCTCCTCGGGTTTGGGCGGGGTCCACGAGAGTTCGAAAAAGGCGCCATGCTTTCTTTGTATTCATTTCTTTAGCTACAACATTGCACCGTTCTATCCAATTGGATTCATTCAGTTGTGCAGCATATTCATCCGCTTGCTTACTCAACTTGGCTATTCTAAGTTTAAGCTTGCGGTTGAATTTGTTTTTCCGCCAACGTTTAGTTTAGCTTCTGCGGGCGTCCTAAAGGTGGAGCAGGTACTTATCGACGGCGGGGGTGTCTTCCGTTGTCTTCATAGTTTTAAGACACTTGGAATTGGCTGCAAGGAGCTGTTTTGCCCATCCCGTATATCCTCCCGCCCCTGGCACAGAGGGGATCACCTGTGAGCGGAAGGCTGTCCAGTCTGTCAGCTTAGCTTGGCTCCATGTTCTACGGCCTATGTTGCCGGAGAGTGTGATTCTGAGGAGACAGTGATCACTGCCGAGCGTTTCTTCTAAGTTTTCCCATGTTGCGTAGGAAATGTTCTTAGTCAGTGATAGATCCGGGCAAGTATCTCGGTTTACAGAATTCCCGATTCTAGTGGGTTTCATTGGATCTGTGAGAAGCGATATACGAAGAGTGGATATGAGTTCTGCCAATTTCCGTCCTTTGGGGACTTCGCGGGTGTAACCCCAATGATAGCTGGGGGCGTTAACGTCACCCAAAATCACTGGTGGGTTTTTATCTGCTTGCTTAATCGCTTTATAAAACATTTCGTTGAAGACACATTGCCTAGATTTTGGAGAAGTGTATACATTTAGAATGTACAAGCTAGGATCTCGTCTTTTATTGGGAAGGACTTTGACCATTGTGTATTCATGCGCTTTTGACAGATCAAGGTCTATCTGACAAGCGGTATACTCCTTGTGTACGAGAACACAGGTGGACGCACTTCCGTGAAATGAGTTGTATAACCAGGCAATTTCGCCTCTAAGCCAGTTTCTTGTAGCGCCAAAACTGCAGGGGTAAAATGTTGATTCTGCAGGAAAAGGTTAAGAGTGGCCCTCTTTTTCCTATCTTTAAACCCCCTGCAGTTCCACTGGAAAATATCGAGTTGCTGTTGTTTGGAGCTTTTATTATTATGTTTAGAATTGCCTGCCATCATGAATTTATTATTGAGGAGGTGTCGTTTTCGCCACTGCAGCCAGCGTGAGAGCCTGGAGAGGCATGGGGGACTCAGTTTGGTTGGTTAACGACTGGGCTATGTTGTTCTCGGATTCAGAATTTGCCAGGTTACGATGAACAATTTTGCGTCGGCGTTGTTTTGTTGTCTTAATGCTAGTTTTGAGTTGGTCCAATTGGAGTGTGAGCCAATTTTGAACGGTTTGTAGTACACTGGCTGTGAAAATTGGCAAAATGCTTTGCTTGAGGTCTTGCATAGCGGCTTGAACTGATAGGTTCCGCTGCTGCGGAATAATGTCTTGTACTGGAAGCTTGGTTTGTTCTAGGATCATTTTGCTCTGCTCCTCAAGTTTAGCCTCTAGTCTGCTTAGTCGACCTTCTATGTCGTTCGAAGCACCTACTACAGTTTTAGACACACTAGTGTTACCCGATACGTCTGACTGATTGTCCTGCTCATCGTCCGAGCAGTCGGAGGTGTGCATAGCCACCGGTTTCGACGGTGGTGGAGGAGAAGTAGCCTGCGACGCCTTCAGCGCCCGATTTTCGCGTTCCAGAGTTTCAATGCGTTTTTTCATGGCTTCCAATTGTTTTAAAATTTTAGAATTGGAGAGGGAGGCAGTGGTG